CCAAAATCCTAAACCCTAAAACCCTAGCACTGGCATCGCAACACACGGCAGCACCCTGTGCAAACCGGGAGTCCTTCGACCTTCTTCTTGATGTGGCTGGGTGCTTCAACCTTGGGCTTAGGGTTTAGTTTTTTTTTTTAGGGGTTTAGGGTTTAGGGCTCAGGGTTTAGGGAGTTTAGGGCTTAGGGTTGAGGGGTTTAGGGCTTAGGGCTTAGGGGTTTAGGGTTTAGGGGTTTAGGGTTTAGGGCTTAGGGTTTAGGGTTTAGGGCTTCGGATGTTGGAGTTTTAGGGTTTTTGGGGTTTAGGGTTCCCGGATGAGACTAAGATCCTCTTAGGCCAACTCCAGGAAAAAAAATCACATGTCCCAAAGGCCTACCTAGCAACCTTGTTGAAGGTGACGGTTTGGTCCCGGTGGTCCGGCATGTCTGGTCGCCAGCCGAACTTCATGTTCGTGCGCATGTTGAGGGACACAACCTAGGTTCCCCAGTAGCCCCTTAATGATAGAGTTTAGGGTTTAGGGTTTAGGGTTTTGGGCCAGTTTTGGGTTTTGGGTTTTGGGTAATGATAAGGGTACGGTTTTCCCTACGATTTGGTTTTGAATAAGGGAGCCCCAAAAGAAAAAAGGGGAAAAAGGGTACCACTGGGGGAGCCTAGCAACATTGGGATGCCGGGGGGCCCCGCCGATCGTCATCTTGCCCTCTGAGAGGCTGCTGGTGTTCTTGAAGCCCTCAACCCAGTTGATGGCCCAGAAGTCCGAGGCAAGGGCGGGATGGCACATGTACTCGTAGGGCATGTAGAAGTAGCCCTTGTCGCCCCACCTTCCCAACAGGTGAATTGACAAATCTGGGCGAATTCGGAGATCAGTAAGGCATGGCTGTTGTCCCTAGATTATGCCCTTTTAACGCCCCAGTCTCATACATTCTTCACCATTTGAACAGAACTTTTGGACGAGTAGCCCTTCTCCCCAAGAGTTGCGGACAATGAAGCACTGCTGGAAGTCGTCGTAGCCCACGGCACAGACGGCGTGGCCGCCCAGCTGTTGGTCGGTTGCCTGGGGCATCACCATCTTGCCGGTCCTGGCAACCTCTGCTGTCTGGAAGCTAGACAAGACGGCAAAGCCGAAGACAAAGGGGTAGCCGTTCTTCCTTGGCTCCGAGCTGCCCAAGGCAAAAATCTATGATGGTACTCATGAGGATACCAGGTCAAACGAAAAGGCACACAAAAACAAGAACAAGGAATAGTACTTGGATCCCAGCTGCAGGCATGCCTTGAACTGGCTCAAGTCCTGGGCGACGCGGGCGTAGCCCATGACCCTGCATTTCTGTGCCAGCTCGTAGGCCTTGTCATCCGGCTGCTTCTTGAAGAAGTCATGCTGGTCATCATACTTCCAAACACTCTCTGGGCACACACCTACCTTGGACATCGTCTTGATGCCGTCCCGGATCATCGCCCCAGCATCCTGGTTCACGCTGCCCTCCACAAGGCGTTCGTTGTAATAGATGAAGAGCCGGCTTGGGGTGAAGTCGGCGAAGTCCTTGTGGTTCTCCACCGTCATCTTGTGGAGGGTGAAGTGGAAGGCTGCTGCCAAAGCGTTCGCTGTGCAGCTGCCGAGATGGCCCTGATCGAAGATGGGGAAGCCACCGTTCAAGGGCCGTAGGTCAATGATCTCCTTCTCTCCTCATGACCCATGCAGTAAACTGTTACTGATGCTAGTGAGTGCTGCACAAGAACACGATGCTGCGTCTAAGGTTCCGAGCACTTGGGTTGTAGGGAAGGAACAGCAACAGTTGCACTAACCCTTTCAGGACCCATCTAGTCACCTTGATATTGAGTAGTCCTTATCGGGATCTCGCTCCTACGCAGAAATTCAGTGTATCTGAAACAGTGGGTGAGGGGTCTGGCGCTTACAGGTTGTGGGGTTTAGGGCTTCAGACTTGCTGATTGAGGTCGTATGTTTGTACTACAGGGCTGGACAAGTCGAGTTGTGAGTGAGGTAGGGTGACTTCAACTATAGGTGCTTTTTCAATTCTACAATCCTAACTAGGGTTCAACCCTAAGCATAGCTGCCTCCGAAGCATCAAATAAAAACACACGACAAACAGGTGAACAAGGAGCATGACAAGCCACGGAAGGCCTTGTGCTACCCATGAACCTTTCACTTGAGTTGAGACTCCTTCAGACTTCTTGGTGATGTGGCTTGGCGCATCGACCTTCTCGAAAGTCACACGGAGGTCGCGGTGGTCTGGCATGTCTGGTCGCCAGCCGAACTTCATGTTCGTTCCTCCGAGCTGTATCTGCTTCTGGCGAGGCTTGGGGTAGAGGGTCCTTTGAAGTGTAGGATGTGGCCACTAGTATCCCACTTCAGGATATCTCCATAGTTGAATGATGGTACAACAAAACCGCGAACCCCAATTCTAACTATAATGGCCCCTATATCGCAATCCAAAATCGCTAAACCCGAAGCCCTTATTCAAAGCCCTTAAGGAACCCTCTTCGAATCGAATATCCTTTACACCCCCTAAACCCTCACACCCCTAAACCCTAAAACCCCACAACCCCGAACCCTCACAACCCCTTCCCCTAAACCCTTACCTCCTAAACTTCTAGACTCTTTGTTATCAACTCGCTTCTTCAATAACCGGACCCCCAAAAGTTCAACCTTTCTGTAATAAACCAAACATATAAGGCCAAAGAGCCTAGAGTTCTCCCTTTGCCTATCTAAGTCAAACTCATAGGGTTCACAACCCCTCAACCCTAAACCCTAAACCCCTAAACCGTAAACTTCCTAAACACTAGACTTAGACTCTTCATTAACTCAAAGTCAACTCTAAACCCTAAACCCGTAAACCCCAAACCCTAAACCCCTACACCCTATTCCCTAGGACTCCTATGGTTTCAAGCCGAACAAGAAAGCCAAACGGCGCATGGGGAGTCCGGACAGGCTCGGATGCCTCGCCGAGGCCGCCACCTCCCATCGCTTGGGGGCTTCGTTTTCATAAGCTTTGGGGTTTAGGCATTTGGGGCTTAGGGGTATAAGCTCTGGGGGGTTTCTTTATAGGGTTTGGGGGTATAGGGTTTTTTGGGGGGTTTAGGGCTTATAGGGTTTAGGCTTTTGGTGGTTAGGGCTTTTTGGGTTTGGGGTTTATGGGTATAGGGTTTAGGGTTTAGAGGGTTTGGGGGGTTTGGGGTTTAGGGTTTGGGGTGAGTTTGTGTGGGGCTTAGGGGAGCTTTGGTTCCGTTCAGGGCTCGAAAGAGTTCTTGGGTGGAGGCTTCCTTTCAGCCTTCCTATGAGGGTTTTTGCGGTCGAGGACGCTTCGGGTATAGGGTGCAGGATTCACGGTTGTTGGATGTGGGGGGTTAAGGGTTCAGGGTTCAGGGTTTAGGGCTAAGGGCTCAGGGTTGAGGGCTTGGGGATTAGGGAAATTGGAGCCTGAAGGTAGGGGTTACAGGCGGTAGGATTCAGAAGGCTTAGGATTCAAGGTTCTCGGGTCAGGGGTTAGGACCGGGGCATATGATTTAAAGTTAAAAGTTAGAAATTGAGGGTTTAGGGTCTAGGGTTTAGGGGTTTAGGACCGGGGCTCATGATTTCAGGTCAAAAGTTTAAATAGAAATTTAGGTCAGCGTCCATCGGACACACGACGAGGGAGGGTGCAGGGCCTCCTTTCGTGTGATGAAGTATAAAGTTGATCCGGCCCCAAATCCAAGATCTCATCACGAGAGCGGGTTAATGAATCGAGAACAAACTACATAGCAAGATCGGACAGCGGGGAACCGCCCAAATCCTCAACCCGAAAAGCTAACCTCTGACAGTGGATGGGAACTGCCTCGCGCGATAAGCAAAGGACCGCCAACACCCAGAGTCAGCTAGACAAACAAACAGACCCCCAAAACCTAAACCCAAAGGGCTTTCAGAACCAAAAGGCGCCACAGAAAAAAAACAACGTCAACCACATCCCCTGAACACCTTCATCACTCACCCCTGCAACAGCCTCAACCCGCTCGTAACAACCTATACACACCCATGACCTTCAATCGCCACAACGAGTGGGGCGCCTGAAGCTCGGAAGCATCCGAGGAGGCACCGGTAGAACTGCAGTTGCCCATCTTGGAAAACCTTGGCTTCTTGGGACTTTGGGGAAATATCTGCTTGTGTGAGGTGTTCTCTGTATCTAACTATCAGGATTGTAGAGAAGGGGTGCGGGTTTAGTGGTTGGGATCTCCTTTACCCCCGACAACCGATTCGGATTGCAGACGCCCCTCCCATAAAATGTTGAGGTTTCAGAATCGTTGAAGGTCGTAGGATTCCTTCTTGGAGGAATGCCTAGGCCTAGACCCCTGCATCGCAGTGTTTTTGTTTGTCAATCTTGTCTTCTTGCCATAGGATCCTAACCGTCCTAACCATAACATACGTGCTCACAAAGGACTAGAGATTCAAAGCCCACGCGCTCGCATGCAATGTCAATCTACAGGGTACAGCCAGGGCGCCAAAAAGGTGCGCAAGAGGATGCAAATCGGCGCTTGGTTTGAACCAGGAAAGGCTGCAACATGCAAGAGCACACGCATCCAGGACTTCCAAAACCCGTTTCGATGATATGCACAACAACAGGAAGAAGAGCAAGTAAGATACTAGTCAGCGGCAAAAGAAGCCAGTACAAGAACAGCAGTAGTGATCATGGCGGTGAGAACAAACAACCGGGAAACATGATTAAACTACCATTTCGGATATGGCTACCTCCAAGTACAAGCTTTCGGCTATCAGGTTTAGGCTTTCAGAGTCTCAAGACTCAGAGTTAGCGCAACCTTAGCCCAGCAGGACAAGTCCTAGTGGTCGCCCGACTATTCCCAGAGACTCCAAAACCCCTTCATTAAGAAATATACCTTAAATCATATTAGGGTTCCTACTATAGTTTAAGGTATATTCCTTAATTAAGGGGTTTTAGAGTCTCTGGGTTCGATATCACCGAAACCCAAAACTTTATGGAGCTTCGACAGTGGCAGCTCGGAGCCAGTGCTACAGTGCCCCTGGGCCATTCGTCGCCCGGAAGCTGAGGAGTTTGAGAGAACCTAGAACTGAGCTCCGGCTTCGACGGTTTCGGGTTTCGGGGTTTAGGGGTTTAGAGGTTTAGGGGTTTAGGGTTTAGGGGTTTAGGGGTTTAGGGTTTAGGGTTTAGGGTTTACCTGAAGCCAGAACGCCCCGCAAGAAAAAAGAGGGCGATGACGCCTTCATTATATGACCTACCCCTTTGAAACCATCTGTGTTTTGGACTGCTAGGATTTTGGGCTTCAGCGCTGCCAAACCCAAAAACCCTAATGATAAAGGCCTTGATAATTGGAATACGGGTTGGAGGTATATTACCCTATTTTGGTAACTATTTAAGCTTCCAAAATAGAGCTCTGTTGGGATCAGAATCAGAGTAGGGCTCTAGGGTACGCTAGACTATACTTAGAACAAGGAATCCTGAGGGATAGTCTGAGGTAACCGCTTATGCTTCTTTTGTAGAGCCCCGAAGCCCTGCAACCCTCCCGGCCTTGCAGGGTACAGCCTTTGGGTTTGTCAGCCGGAGATTTTCGATGACGCCGAATTCCGGCTGCCTTGGTAAGCTTTGTTGGCGGGGCCTCATACGTCATGTTATTTCTTGTCATAAAGGTGTCGAAAGGCTCTTGAAGGAAAATCGGTGTTGAAGGTTTAGGGTGTTTCCGGCCTGTCAGAGGTGTTGAAAGTCTCTTCAAGGCAACAGGTGTTTCAGGTTCAGGGTGTTTCCGGCCTGTTTGGAGCTGCTTCCTTCTAACATGTTCAGGGCTTCGGATTGGATTCATGATATTTTCGGCTTGCTTTCAAACCATATAAGCCTTCAAGCGACAGTGTCTCCTACGAGGCTGAGAGGAGCTGCTTGCTCATGTTGCAAGCGGTCAACTTTTAGGGTTCTGGGCTTGCATGTGAAAAGTTCTCTAAACCAGGGTCCCTTTTGGTCTCCGTTCTATAAGGGTGCCGTACTGTATTGGGGACCTGAAAGGGACCCTAGTTTAGAAAACTACCCATGTGAGAAGTTTAGAGATTTAAGCTTGGAGTCAAGGGCTTAAGTGGGGTTCGTGGCTTCGGGATCAGTATTGAGGCCCTGGCAGGGGATACCCACAGTATGGACACCTCGTCGTAGCAACCTCTGTATGAATCCAAATTCGAGCCTCCCGACTCCCCAAAATCCAATAATGCCCACATCTCTGGGTTGAGGAGTAGAAGACCCCTGAACCCTAAACCCTAAAAGCCTAAAGCCCTAAACCCTAAAGCCTAAAACCCTAAACCCTATAAACCCTAAACCCTATAACGCCTAAACCCTATAAACCCGAAAACCCGGAAACCTTAAAGCCCGAAACCCTCGACCCGACGCTGAGGGATGGAACACCCAACAACCCCTACTGGTACCATAGCAAGCCCGACCATCAGAAGCCATGGGAACCCAGTGAGGGCACCCAAAGGCCTGCACGTTACACGCAGGAAAATTGTGCTGCTGAGCCCCAAAAACCGCTGACATTTCAGCACCTGGCAAGACAACCATAAACCTCCCCGCCAATCCCAAGAAGCACTTCATAAAACAGGTGACTTGGTGAACCCATCCACGAAGCAAAGGGCTATACCCTATACCCTATACCCTAAACCCCTAAACCCTCAAACCCTAAACCGGCTATACCCCTAGTAGCTCCAAGAGCCCTGCACTGCGCTGGTCGGGGAAGCCGGCTGGCTTGACTGGGCCACAGGGGTTTAGGGCTTAGGGCTTAGG